TTTCTTAAGTGAGATTGACTGCTCTTATGGTTTAAGTTGACATCTGCTAAAGTCTTCTCAATATTGAAACAGCTGGTCCAAAACGCATTTAAAAGTTGTTATACGAACCAACAAGTGTTAAACTGACAAGTGAACGTAAATCGATATATCTTAATTGTTCTTGCCGGCATCAGTAGTGTCTTATTTGATTGAAATATACTCCCTGCAGCTTACAWATATTGCAAAAATAAGAAAGACAATTGATCGATATTACTATTTGATGCATGTATTCCGGTAATTCCACGTTCAGTTAATGAATAATCGATAAAATGATCAAATGGCATTGATTGGTCAACGTGTTCCTGTCTGATACCCCAACGATGGTCTATAACATGACGAAACGCCTAAAAGGCATCGTATAATGCTATGGCAACGTACGCTWTTTTTTGCCTCACAACATCAAGACATTCTATCGCCACAGTAGTCCTATGTGGTACCATATTTTTCGGATCCTATTTTTTTCCTTTGGTCCAAAATGAGTTAAATAAGCGKGCCCCGGACTGCCGATGTGCGATGCAAATCAAGGCAACAACTGACGAGCGGGATAGAACAAAAGGGGATCCAATTTTTTCACATAAAAACKTTACAAAACAGAATAGCCTGAAGCGAAACAGACTGATAGAAATRAATAAATAAAATGGGTGTAGCTCTAAATGACTTTGTCGSCCCTCTCCTCCCTGACCKACATCGTGTTAGCTTGTATGGATTACTMTTTTTTCGTCAAAAAGTCCCTACAGCTGCTGTTCTCAGTAATTATAACCCATTTTTTAAGAAAACAAAGCAAAACAACAAACAACAAATTAAAACATTAGGCCTGATTTGTTATGCGAAACAAAGATGCCGAATCAGGCTCCTGATAGAATCTATATTTTAGGGTTTTTGATAAAATATTGAGATGTTCTGCATGTTTGTTGGGATATTCCTGTGTACTTAATAGTCACAAGACTCACTTTCATTTTTCTTCCATAAAAAAGAAATGAGTAGAAAAAAACGACATCACCTCTGTCATAATTTACTTCCGGTGAATTCGGAAGGTACAAAGAACAAACGATTGGTATACGAAGGATTATCGACTTGTGACGCAATTGCATGATGGTCGAGTGAAGGACATCAAAACAAAACAAAAACATCGTCTCTCATGGAAAACAGATTGCAGTTATGTAAAAAGACGACATGATTTGCACTAAATAGCAATGAAATTAATTCCTAGGACTGTAGGACACGAAAGTCCTTGCACAAATTATATTTATGTGGATTTAACGTACAAATTGGGCGCCAAAGTGAACCAAGATTTACTCTGCGAAACGGTTTTTCATCTTTGGAAAGAGCCAAACATTTTCTTTCTGGCCTGACAGCTYTTATCATTATGTCAGAAACAGTTGGTGATTTCTGCTACAGTAAAAAGGACCTTATAGGCCACGGAGCTTTTGCTGTGGTTTTTAAGGGACATCATAGAAAGGTAAGAAGTTTATTCATTGTTTTAACCTAGAATCTTGGGTTTTACCMACATGAAACTCTACCCTTTTTTATGTAGAATATAAGCTTAACTGACTATAAAATAAAGAATTGCTTTTCAGAATCGACCAGATATTTATTCCCTACATGCAAGTCTTAACTCTAGATATAAGTTATGATTTGCGAAGGTTTTCCCTTGCATCGTTTTATTTTAAGCTTATAAGCTTATAACTAAATCTCTCGCTAGTAATATTACATTCACTTTTCTTATCTGTCATATGTTTGTTATTGTTTCAGCTTCTTAAAATATTATAAATTCCACATTTGTAGACTGTTTCGGCATTTCTTCGACTACTGACGCCGTAAGCCTATTTTCTTTTATGATGTTTTTGAGTATTTTTCAACAGAAAGAGGACTTTGTTGTGGCAATAAAGGTCATCTCTAAAAAGAACCTTTCGAAAGCACAAAGTCTATTGGCCAAAGAAATTAAGATCTTGAAGGTATAAATAAYAGCAAGTCATTATGATAATTTATTCCAAATTCATTATAAATAAATCATTGTGGATCTATTGATATTTTAACAATACAAGATTATTTAAATCCGATTTCTTATAACCATTTCTTTCAAATGTTGTATGACTGGATTTTGAGGCTGATGCAACATTGACCTTTAAACAATTGAGAGCTAGTGCAGACATCATTATTTGTTGAATTACATGTATGCACTGGCTCAAGTTCTTTCCATATTTGAGATCTATTTTCAGTAATTCTAACCACAGTTCTAACACCTCTGAACTTAATGTAACTATTTTTAAGAGCTCACACAAAAATTTACTGGYAATCGTAATTTTCTTTGAAGGAACTCCAACATGAGAATGTGGTTGCTTTATATGACTGTCAGGTAAGATTTGAAAAAAAGGATTTTGTATTTTATAAGGTGCATTGCATAATTTTTTTACCATTTATGGTAAAARATATGAACTATTTCACTGTAAGGGCCCATTAATGAATATAAGTGCACTCTTACAACAAGGTTTACTTTATTAGGAACGTCCAAGTAGTGTATTTCTAGTTATGGAGGTGGGTTAATTTTGATATTTCATTACAGTATACAATTCATAAGTCATCATAATTATATATATTGGTTGGATGAAGGTTGGAGAAAAAATTCAAGATTTTTAAAATTAGCGAGAAGGGGATTAAAAGAGAGGTTTTAGTGAATTTCTTTTGTCCTAACCAAATTAAATAACAAATGCAAAACTGTGAATTCCTAAGCTTTTCAAATCTTCATACCAAAAGTGGGTCAGTTCACTGTTTGGGCTTCCTGTGGTGATCCCGGATCTCTGTGATGGAACTGGTAATTAACTTTCTTCTTCTTTTTTTACCTTTTTTCTGCAGTATTGTAATGGTGGAGATCTTGCAGATTATCTTCAAGGTACTTTTCAGGAATTCCTCACTCTGTATTTAAATATATTTAAAGATGATTGATATCATCAAAATAATATATATTGTCTTAAACAGTTAAAGGGACGCTAAGTGAAGATACTATAAGAATATTCCTCAAACAAATTGGTAGGTAAAATCTTTTCACATCAGAATGTCATTAAGTAGTTTGGAGTCCCTGTGGAATAATTTGTCCACAGGGAGCCCAAATAACGAGTTTTATAATAAATTTCTTATTTGTGATTTTAGCATCAGCCATGTCTGCACTTCAATCAAAAGGTATTGTCCACAGAGACTTGAAGCCTCAAAACCTTCTTTTGAACCACTCTGGCAGTGCAAATCCTCTACCATCGGAGATCAAAGTGAAAATTGGTAAGTATGGAAAGCTTATGTAAGAGAAGCAAAATACTTTACACGTCATTACACATTATACTACATGAATATGTAGGGATTAGAAACAAACCAGCACAATGGCTTCACTTGAAATATCTAGTAAGTATTGATGATAGACTATGTTTAGCCATACCGTGGATTGGATCAATTACATTTGTCTCGGCTGGCTGATTGAATTAGAAGTTAAAGTGTCTACCTAACTAACTTACTAAGACAACTTTTCTGGCCAGCTGTTTGACTTTGATGGAAAAGTGTCTGGTTTACTGCTCAACTTAGAAATAATAATAACAATGATAATAAAAAAATGCCTGGCTGACGGAAAAGTTCTTGTTTAACTTAATTACTTAAAGATGGAAAAGTGTTTGGCTAACTGTGTGATTTTGTTGTCTGGCTAACTGTGTAATTTTGACAGCAAAATGACTGATTAACTGAATGACCTTCATGACAATTTATATTATGCCGGTTTAATTATCCTCCATAGCTGACTTTGGGTTTGCAAGGTTTCTTCCTGGGGAAATGATGGCTGCAACACTGTGTGGCTCTCCTATGTATATGGTATAGTACATTCTTACTGATATACTTTCTAGGATAATTAACTCTGATTTTTGATCACAGCATGTAACCAATGTGAACAATGTCAGTTAATGAGTTGTATAATTTCTTAAGTTATATCTTCTTCTTATAAGGCACCAGAGGTGATTATGTCCAAAGCTTATGATGCCAAAGCTGACCTATGGAGTCTGGGTACCATTGTCTACCAATGCCTTACTGGGAAAGCTCCTTTCCAGGTAATCCTGGCCTTAAGTTGGAACTTATTTTTTTGACTCAGACCATTAAGGTAAAAAATAWAATTCCCAATGCAATATCTTAATTGTAACCTTTTTTTGTATAGGCAAATAGTCCTCAAGCCCTTAAAAAGTTCTACGAGAAGAACAAAGGTGTTTGTCCCAAGTAAGAAACTGTAATAMTCATMAGTGAATCCTGCCGTTAACCCTATAAATACTGAGAGGGAACATATTTACATGAGGTTGTGAAATCCTGGAGTACCATWAAGTGAAGCCACTGAATTGACAATCAATCTATGGGGGTGGGGGCAGTAAAATGCTATAACAGCATCTCAGTAATCTTCTCTGTTCATTAGTATTCCTGCTGGAACATCCCATCACATCAAGGATCTACTTACTGGATTGCTAAAGAGGAACCCTAAGGATAGGATGGACTTTGGTATGGAAAACTTCTAATTGATTTACTCATATTTTCATATCATATTTTAATAGTTGTCAGGTTGTCTTAGCCAGTCTGACGATTTTAGTAMAAGTCAAAAACCGCTTTGATTAACTTGTTTTAATCTACTAGGTGAATTCTTTTCACATCCTTTTCTCAGTGGAAGAATTGTGCAACGATCATGTAAGTTTCACATCACCATACAGTTCCCTGAAACATTTACAGATGATATTACTAATACTATTAGCAGCATCATTACAACTATTTGTTGTACTATTTAGTGCTTTGTTTATTTATTTGTGAAATAAATAAAGATTTTTGCGCTTTTGTAGCCACACCTSTTGCTGTTCCTTCAAGACATAGAAACTACAGTGGGTCTTCACATTCAACTGGCTCTAGTTCTCCTGTATGTGATTAATCAGTTAACGTTTCATAAGCAACTGTGTATCTTTTTCATGTTTCCATTACTATCCACAGCTAGTGTAAATTAGCTATTGTAAATGGCCTCTCGGGAAGCCTGTGGAGAAAGGAATCCCAAGAGGCCGGGCTAGGGAAAACATAGTGATACCATAGTTAGTTAACTATGGTAATATGAAAATCAAAATGATTGTTTTTTAGCATTCAAATGATTTTCCCTTTGGTAACGTTTTATCACAGCACAGGAATCCCTCAATAAGAGAAAAGCCTATGTTAATCGTTATAATCGTGTCGTATTTATAAYATTAGAGCTATGGTGCTGAAGCATTGGGTGATATAAGAGTAGAGTTACTGGCAGGATCCCCTCAAGAAATGCCATTCGCCAATCCAGGAAGTTTGGAACACAGTCCTGGAAGTCCTGGAAATGGTACAAAAAGTTGAAGCAGAAAGCGCAGCATTTTAGAAATGCACCACAAGAATGACATGTTTCTTGTACTTTTTTCAGCGCACAGCAACAGAAGTAAAAGGTTATCTGCTGGCTTTATGCGTAACTCACCAAATCAGGATGATGACCTGGAACCTGAGGTTGGCACCTTGTTTTTGTATGAATTTTGCCAACGGATTTTCATTATCCSTATCACTAATTTGCTCTTAATTTTTTTTCGAAGGATTTCGTAATGGTCCCAAACGCAATCGATACAAATGATTGTAAGTGTTTAGTTAGTGCTACGTGGTTGACAAAGTCGTTGTTGTTTTCTTTATTAATCKTTTTTTATATATTTTAAGGTACTAACAAGACTCGAATGGGTTGGGATGCCTACTTTCCATATGAGTGGTACSAGCAAATGCCTTGTCTTTATTATGAGCTCTTACAACAAGATTAAGTCTGATWATTGTTCATCGACCAAGCAACAATACTGAATATTTGTAAATTTGTTATTTCAACGTTTTGCATTTCGTATTTTCAGCCAATCACCACCCTCTCGAAGCTCCCCTAATTCCAACTCTCCGCGAACGYCTCCTCGCCGTGCAACGTTTGTGGTAGGATCACCATCGTCATCATCCAACTCACCTCCTGTTGCCATTCAAAGACCACGAACCAGATCTACTAATAGTGAACCGACAGATATACAACGATTATATGGACAGTCGGCTCCTATAGGTGTTCCAGTTCCCCGACGAGTTAGAAAGTGTTCATCCCCAGGTCCAGCACCCAATATCTCCYCAGGCTCYTTACCTTCTCAACCTATACCAGTACCGCGCAAAACCTCTAAGACGAGTAGCTTGGACAAAACAATCACTGCTGTAACACAAAGGTCGCCACAAAGCTCTAACCAACGAATACAGACTACACAGGGTGMATCTACAGTAAAGCCATCTACCAATACGTCACCAGGCGGAAGTGAAACTTCCCTAGTAACCGCTGTTGCTAGGACGTTGAGTGATAATACCAAAGGGGGACTWTGTAATCTTRCTGACTTGAATACAGTACCTATCAATTCTGGTGGTGATAACGAACTGCTTGTACGACCTTCTGGGACCATCCAGCGYGCTTTGTCAAATATTGACCGCACACGAATTCCATCTGATTCCTCGTCACCCCTTCTGTCAGCCCTAGCAAGACAAACGAACCCAGGGTTAATGCCTTTAGAAGCTTTATCAGAGCGAACTGAAGAAAGGCCCATACTGAAAGTACACAGTTCCCCCGCCATACTGGCAACAGCGATGGGACTTCCTCGAAACAGGTCTTTTAGTCTGAATACCACAGGTCAACTCCGGTTGGGATTGGGAACCACTCAGAGGATAAGACGTCATTCAAGCGGGCCGACAATTTCTTCAGAATTTGAACAAGGCACACTTCAGTCTACCACCCCTCCGTATTTACCACCTATTCCAGGCTCCCCAACAAAGTCYTCGAGTGTTACACAGGGTGACCAGCAAGGGGAACTAAAACCTCTAAAGGGATTGTTTTTTGGAGGGTCAAGTCCTCCTCCCATTGCGGCAATGATGACAGGAGATATAATCCCTTTCAAATCTCTCCCTAAATACGCCGGACAAGAAACAGTGTCCAATACTGTTTCGAATAACGTGCCATCATTAGTCACCCCTGGCAAAGGTAAGCCACAATAGATGACTTAGAAGTTGMGCGGCGCTTTAAAATATATTTGCTTAAAGGGGCATGGAAACAAGGTATGTTYGTGCAGAAATGAGCTCGSAAGRTACCARAAAATACGTGCGCGCCAACGATATATTTGAAAGCGATCACRCGTCWCGAAAATTGTCTATTATCATCAGTATGATCAATTCATAATTCTTATCAGTAAATCTAACGAGCCGTTTGTTGTTTCTCAAAGGTACTAAAGTAACTCGAGGATTTTCCGAGAGTTTTTCTGGAACTTCTGGTCATGAAGTYCAACCGTTATCTCCAGACATGGARGGTACAATCGCTCTTATAGCACCAGAATTACCAGAAGATACTTTGATGGAGGTACACTTTTTCAACAGAGATCGTTTCTATTCAATATATGCTTCACATTGATCTCTCACGATTTTATGGTCTAATTCAAAATAAGCTGTTTGATATCCTAACGCAGTGTTTAGAAAAATAACTTTAGCAAACCAAAGCCTAATAAACAACATCTAATACCAACTGCACATATYAAACACGTCCATGTTTGCAACAGAGCAATTATTYAATTAACATCGAATACATTATTTCCCATCTCAGACTGAACATACTGATGGAGTTCGCAAATTGAATTTCGCGCTGTCTTTGGCGGACGCCATTTTGGAAGTCATAGGAGCTCGACGAGCCCCGCTGACAACGATTGCAGATTCAATGACTCTACGAATGGTAAGAGCACTGCTTTCCATTTAAAACCATTATCACTCCAAGCTAATATATAAATTACCATCTTATGAGAAAACTGTAAATATATTGGTATTAAAATTAATAAGTTGCGATTTAAGACTTCGGTTTTTGTAATGCCAGAATGAAAGCCTTTTTACTGACCAAATTGGAAACATCAGTGAGGAATGCAGGTATGTGTCTGATTAATGTGCCTGACGTGTTTGCTTGCTTTAGGATTGTCTTAAGTGCGCAATCCTTTTTCTTGTTTCCTTGTTCTTGCTTTTTTGGTTTGGTTATTTGTTGTTGTTGTTGTTGTATTATCACTCCAAGCTAATATATAAATTACCATCTTATGAGAAAACTGTAAATATATTGGTATTAAAATTAATAAGTTGCGATTTAAGACTTCGGTTTTTGTAATGCCAGAATGAAAGCCTTTTTACTGACCAAATTGGAAACATCAGTGAGGAATGCAGGTATGTGTCTGATTAATGTGCCTGACGTGTTTGCTTGCTTTAGGATTGTCTTAAGTGCGCAATCCTTTTTCTTGTTTCCTTGTTCTTGCTTTTTTGGTTTGGTTATTTGTTGTTGTTGTTGTTGTTGTTGTTGTTGTTCTTTATGACGTCTTCGTCGTCGTCGTTTGCTTTTTCTGCTCAGTTTCTTACTCTTTTCTGTCAAAACTTGTTTGTTATTTAGTGTGTTTCCTTTAGTGTGTTTCGTAGTGTATTTTTTTAGTATTCGTTGTTTCGGTATGCTTGTTTTTTTTTTCATTTGTGTATTTAATTCAATTAATGTTCTGTCTTTAGGTCTACCGAACAGCTTGTTCTTTACGTGAAAACATTACGTGTTTTAAGCCTTGCTTTGCGATTTGCAAAAGAGGAGCTGAACGAGAATCGCCTGAAGCCATCGAATGCGGTCAAAAATGGTACGCTCAATATTTACAACACTGCATTACTATAGCTATAGTTAAGAGCGAAAAAGAGTTTCTAATTAAAGTGTATTTTTTTWAAATTTTTGCTACAGTTGTGAACGACCTCAACGTGCGATATCATCAGTGCCTAGAGAGAACTACACAGATTAAAACTACTTTGCAAGGAAAAACCACAGCTGGAAAGATAGTATCGGTATAGCAATATTAAACGACTTATGGTTGTGATATGATGATAGTGGCCTTTTTCGAAAATCACCATATTTTATTTTAACTGGTTCATTTCGTAAAGTATATGTTTTAGTTAAGTTATATGATACTAGAATTAGTTTCTATCACCGAAGTTATAGTGTCATATGAGTCCGTCACTAAGGTACAGGGTTTCTCAAGTATAGCTGCAGGAATCTTTTGTTCAATAGTATTATTGATTATTATCTGTCAATATTATATTAGCAATTGAAWTGAATTGACACGTAATGCTGCTTTTTTATCTTCTTCTTTTCCATTTACAAAGGCCAATGCTGACAAGTTGATTTACATGTATGCAATGGAGCTGGTACGTATATTGTCTCCTTCGCAACCGTTATTAGTGTCGGTCCCAGCCCTCCATTTTGTCTCGTAAATCCTTAGTAAGAGGGGTTTGAATGGGTGTATATTGGGAAATTCCCAGTCTRATATAATCTTAAGTATCCTTCTTGACTTCTTGCAGTGTCAAAATGCTGCGTTAGACGAGCTCTTTGGCAACCCTCAACAGGTATTATTGTTAATATTTATTGCTAGAATGTTTGTTATTTTACCACATTCACTCCAACGCTCCAATATTGTGATTGATGATGATCATTTTTTGATACCATTGTTGGACAGCATTAGGCAAGTGATAATTCAAAGACCCAAACGCGCAAAAAAACAAAAAACAAAAAACAAAAACAAACAAACAAAAAAACAATTAGGAGTTTAATCTGTAATCATGTATGTTTTGTTTTTTTCTTTATATTTTAAGTGTCGAGAAAAATACGAAACTGCGCAGCTACTGCTGCAAGGACTTCAAAGTGATGTCAAAAAGGATAGTGACTTGGCTCTTTTAAAAAGATGTATCCTTCTCATGCTAAATATATAAAGTTTTGAGTATTTCAGACGAATATTGTAGTCACAYTGACATATACATCCTTCGATCCATCAATCATTTGGCCCAGTGACAAACAATCTGTCAATCAATCCATTCTCCATTCATCTATCTGTAATTTTTTTCCATCATCAAAATCATTTAGTGATTTTTTGCATAGTTCTTTTGCTGCWATCCTTAACAAACTTGATCAGATAAAATGAGTGTAGATCGAAGACTGGATCAACTGAACCGCCGCAAGACCGCTGTCAGTGTGCGTTAAAGAAGAGACGTCATTACAGCCGACCTTCAGTACCTACAAATTGCAGCTCCTCATGTTCCAGAAGACCTTTTTGTACAGTACTCTTGTGTACTATCAAACATGGTATACCTGCGGACATGCAAGGGTAGTCTTCTATTTAACCGTTAATTTATTATTTTAATACTGACCTTCATCTATTTACGATAAGTTATCATATAAAAWTACCCTATCATCAGACAAGGGTTAATTTATATTCATTGACTTCTTCATTTTCCAAACTACGGCCAGATTTGCTGTTGTAGCAATCAAACATTTGAGTATAGTTCTTCCCAACGTATGTTCCATAAATTTATATTAAGTTTTAATTAATAGCATTAATTGTTTAGTGCAAAGTGACRCATTATGGCCGGCTATAGAATTCTGGTGAGGAATATTTATCTTCGTTTAAATGTTTTGGTTTTTAAAATAGTGTCGAATCAATTTCAGAATAATACATTGTCATACCGGTAGATTGCGCGATTTTTGTTGATGTATTGGTAGGAATTTAAAATGGAAGATACCTTCCATTGTCTTCATAACAAGAGCGTGCTATATTTCGTAAGTAGGCGCACGCTCGACTCTAGTCGGGTATATTGTACCTGAAATACTTTTATTATATACTCTTTCGTTGAACGTCTTTAAAAAGGTGTGTTAAATGTGTATTGACCAAAAATTATATCAACGAGTGATCAAGCGTATTGCTTGTTCATCTCAGCTTCGAAACAATACYTGTAAATAGTTTGTAATCATAATACCATCCAGTTTTTAGATTTTTATGATTTTCATCAAGTAAATACCACAAAAAAAACATCAGAGAAAGAAAAAAAACTTTAAAATATGGAAACACAATATAAAAATATAGATAAACTATGAATGTAAAAAAAAGAGTGTAAATAAGATTTTAAACAATCAATAAATATAATGTATTGCCGAATAAAAACTYATGAGACAACTTCATTGCTGTGTTATGTATTGCTATTTTTAATTGTTTATATGTTTATTATAGTTTTGTTTCTAACGGAAAAGATTTATTGAGAATTGATTGATAATTTAAGTTGTAAGTAGTTATAATGATAGCGAAAGTTTTGGCACAGTTCAAACATGTTCAAACACAGGTCCAAATATTATCTTGGAGTCTCCATTTGTCTTTGCTAATTTGTTTAGCAATGCTAGTGTCTTTGGTACGTCGTTTTCTTGTGTAAGGTATTATTATAGTCATTCTTATATGTTTTGTGGTTTCATCTTAAACTCATTAGTTTATTTAGTTATATAATGGGGCACTGCAGGTTCAATGTATTTTGGAYACTCTCAACTTATTAACGTCYCGSGTAAAAYACTTTACTCACTAGATTCACTTACTACTATAACTTCGTTCACTTTTCTTTTTAAGCTCAAGTTATTTTCAAACTTTGTCACGAAGTAATCCGTGTCTTCAAAATCAACSCCTTCGTTTTCCAATACTTTTGTAAGCGCTTTAAGCTTGGCCTTGACTTCATTTTCCCCTGTAACTCCCTCAAACACTGAAACATAGGCAAACTGCTGCGGGTAGTCTTGGATAAACATGTTGGTTTGAGTAGGTGCTGGCGGTCTTGAACAGTTCTCATAAGGTAAATGCCTGGACACTACGAAATAACCCGGTTCATCAAGGTCTTGTCGAAACTCAACGTGTATCCTTAACGGGCATGTAAGTGTCATGGACTTTTCAGGCCCGTTATTTCCATCGAAATACTTAGCTAGAGTAGATTCGCCTTTGCTTATTGCCTTCTTGTATTCAATGTCGTTCATTCTGACACAAATCCAAGTCGACGGCTCGTATTGGCGGTATTCATAATCTCTAGTAAAGTTCAACACTTTATACCTCGGTCCTTCGCGTCCACGGTAGTGAACCGGTTTTCGGAATACTCCCTCTTCGGGTTCATCAACATCTTCTACGTCGTTTTTATCTCGTGTAAAACAGAGACCCATGTTTTACGTACGGTTAATTACRCGACTGTGTGTGTAGTCAGGTAAGTTTACTGTCTCTAAGTAGCAGTATAAACCTTATTAACAATTAATACTGGTTTCCCATTGAGGTTTTACTTTATGAGATAATGAGTGGACTATCGAGTAAACGTACCGAAATGTTTAATAAATTGTTCATCATAAGTATACAATAGTGCTTTTTTTGCATAGTTAACCAGTGTATAAATGGTTTCGACTGAGGAACAAGCAAAGTTTTTAGTTTTATAAATAAATATTTTCGTGTGCTGGCTTTTAGTGAATTACAATGACATCCATCGTTTTTTGTTTGATTTTAACAGCTGTTGAGAGAAGAATAGCATAGAACATGATCRAATGATCACGTTAATGACTAATTGAAAGGAGACTCGTGTTCGTKCAGCAAAATGGATTTCTAAAAACATCTCACCAGTGATATTTTTTGTCAGAAGTACGTGGGCGTGTCCTCCATCTCTATTTTTAAGCTGATCATGATCATTAGCAAGACTTTTAAAAATAAACTGCAATGCTATATATTATGACTATATTTTACTGAATATGCAGAAATTATGATCATTTTGATCACTCAAATTCCAAATGTATATTGAAATATCACAGAAACTATGTGATATCATCGGCAATATTTTTTTTTTTTCAGAAAGTACTAGTGCTAGTCAACTTCAAAAAAGTATCAGCGTTGATATCCCATTATTTCTGATATACTTTATRTATACTTGGATTATGTGTCAAAACGATCATATTTTCTCCATATTGCTGTATGTTAAACTGATTATGTGATTTACAAGTGAAAAGCAAATGAAACCTAACCTACCTGATACTTATTCTTACCACAGGCAACCCAATTTCGCRCTGCTGACTTTGATAAGATAGATCGCAGGCTCGTGTAAGTTTGATATGAACACGAGAAATAAAAYTTCCATAAAAGTGTGTTTTAATGTACTGAATTGTACGGCTTTTGCAGATAAAGTATGGCAGATACAAAGAAGTAAGTAGGGATATTAATAAATTTTCATTTGAGCAGGAGAATCATATACTTGAGCTCAGCTKAGCTCAGCTAGTTTTGTTGTCTTTTTAAGCAAGCACGTTTGTTTGACAGTAAATTAAAAGAGCCTGACATTCATAGTTCATCAAAACGTGAAATGAACGGACATTTTACTATTAGGTATGGCCTGATAATCAAGAAGAAGACAACGGAAAAACCACTAAAGAAGAGTGCCGTGTTTGGAAACGAATCAAGCGATGAAGAGGTTTGATTCAGTCACCATTGATAGCTAACAATGGTTGATGATTTAGATATCATTTGCTTCAAGTATAAAGAAATAAAACAAACTTGGTGCAAAGGCACCATCTTGAAAGGTACATGTAGCTGAGCTTTTACATCAAAGTGAGACAGTGATAGGTCACATTCATTCATCACGGGTCAACCAGGCTCAGATACCTATCCAGGTGGTACCCAGGGAATTGAATATAAAATAGAATAGTAGATATAATTTTTAGCTTAGCAGCTGCGCTTGAACATTGCCACTAAAAGGCATCTTACAAGACATGTGTTCACACACAAACTCAAAGCTTTGTTAAGTGCCTGGACACAAGATCTGGACTCAAGCACCACATGTTATAGTCACATAGCAATGAGACATCACAAGCCTAARAGCTCATGCACTACAATTTCTGGGTCTATCACGTATGGCTTGGTTCTGTTACCTTAGCCAACAGGGGTTGCACCATGATGATTCATATGAATTTTGTCTTTAGGATGCACCAAAGAGTAGCATCAATGTTTCACTAATGAGAGAAGCACAGAAGAAAAAACAAATGAAGCAGGTATAATATTAAATCTAAATGAATATAAAGTAAAAAAAAAAATGATTTCTGATTTTATGGCATGAGTGAAGTAATAGCCCACTTTTGATATTTTGGTTTGACAAAACCATGCACAAAAGAACTGGAGACAAGGCTCTGGGGCGAGTATACATATTGTTTCTCAAGAACCACCATGTTAAACTCTATTTGTTTGTGTGGTAATTGAACTAAATGTTAAATACTGGATGGGACTATGAACTCTTATAGTCCAGTCGCTGGTCCCTACTCTTTGCTCCGCTTTAGATTTTGTTGCCAAAGACTAGGGTTCTTCTCTTTGGCGACAAAACAAACATAGGAGCAAAGGGAAGGGGACAGCGACTGGACTAGAACTCTTAGTGCATTCAACCTTGCAACTCCATAAACTTTGTCTAATTTTTGATTATCCTCACAACAAGTTCATTTTGAGTCATTTTGACTAACGCAATAAAGAAATTTGCCGGTTTAAACCAGTCTCCCCTTTTCAAAAACCTCCAAACCCTGGAGATGTAATATTGATGTAATATCTTTGTGAAAATTACTCTTAGACTCAAATTGAAATTGAGAAAGCTCTAAAGGAAGACCCCAATGTATATGAATATGATAACATATACGATGAGATGGCTGAAAAGAAAAAAGCTGCAATACCAAAACTTGCTGAGAAAGATAGAAAGGTCAGTATC